GTTAGTTGAATGAAAGATGAACCACTTCAGATTAATACATCTAAATTTCACTGCCTTGGCTCCAGACGTAGTCATGCTTAGAATAAAATTATTAAACTCAAGAGGACACCCCAGCCACAGACCCCAGCCACAGATCCCACTGATTTCAGCGAGCCTACTCTTGGCATAACTAAATCTGGATCCAATCAGTAAAAACAAATAATCGGGACCATTTATATTGATATTAATCATCATTTTTTAAAATTTACAGAACTTTCATCCTCAAAGAGAATATTCTGAACAAATAGAACCACTACAATATATTAAAAAAAAGAAAAGATAATGTCTGGATTGTGAATATGTGAATTACAGAGAAGATATGAATAGAATATATATTTCATATATCCATTCATATATTGTTTCTTTTTCACCCAAGTTACTCAGATTTTGTCAGGAGTTGTGTCTTCTTTCTTTTTCTTTCTCTTTTTCTAAAATTTTGCTTTTCTCCCCAGCAGGTTCTGAAGGCAAAGTTATATCCCAGGATCTCAGAGATGTTTATCAAGATTTAGAAGAAAGCAAAAATAAAAAAAAATTATAACCACTAACTCAGTTCAAAGATTGGAGGAGTTTTTGAGGTAGACTACTTTAGCCTCTTGCTAGAGCAGCTGGCCTGAAGAGTTTCAAGACGGTCTTCTTTTTCCTGCCACTACCACTCTTGCCAGACTGGCAACCATGGGGGAAAAGTCCCATACTTGCCCTTACTGTGGGAAAGGTTTCCGGCGAAACTCACACCTTACTCGGCATTTGGCTACCCACTCTGGATTGCAGCGCCCTTTAGGTGGGAAACGTCTGGGACAGCAGGTACCAGAGGAAGACCGTCCCTTCAGCTGCAGTTACTGTGGGAAGACTTTTGCCCGCAGTGCCCACCTGGCTCGGCATCAGGAAACTCATTCTGGGGAGCGACCCTACAAGTGCACCTACTGTGGCAAAGCCTTTGGGCGCAATTCCCACCTGACCCGCCACCATAGCACTCATACTGGAGAGCGCCCCTATGAATGTGGTGTCTGCGGCAAAGCTTTCACCCGCAGTGCTCATGTCACTCGCCACCAAGGAACTCACACTGGAGAACGTCCTTTCCGCTGCACGCGTTGTGGAAAATGCTTCACCCGCAGTGCCCATCTCCAGCGCCATCAGGGCATCCACAGTGGGGACAAGCCCTTCTCATGCAGAGACTGTGGAAAGGGGTTCACCCGTTATGCACATCTTGAGCGTCACCGTGCTACCCATTCAGGAGAGAAACCCTTTAAATGTGCCAGCTGTGGTAAAGGGTTTGGGGCTGCCTCTCACCTTGTAAGACACCAGAAAACTCATAAAGTTTAACGGCTGGGTTTGTGCCTGCTACCATCCAACAAGTATGAGAATTGGCCAGTATGAAGTACTTGGGCTTATCCTTTGACTTTATATCTCTTTTCTCCATTCTAAAATCTACTTTTAGAAGGAACTGAGTTCAACCCATTCAATAATATTTACACCTGGCCTGCAGACAAATTGAGGTACTTTGAGCTTTTGCCGCTTCAGTTCAGCAGCACCTACCCATAGCAAAAACAAAAAACAATTTTAGATGGTAAAACAGCAAACTATTCTAATTTTTTTTCCTTTGGGAAAAAGAAATCTTAGAGATGCCAGTCATTTGTGGTTTTGTGTGTGCTTTTACTCAGTTACATAAATAAATGCTGTATTTAACTCCATCTTTTCTGGTAAGAAAGATGCCGGACTTATGCATTTATGACTCTCAGACAGGTGTTTCAAAATCCCCTGCCTTGTCATCCAGCATTATCTACATTGCACAGTTATGATGAAACAATCTGAATCAACAGAAGCATCTTTTTGGCAATTCCCTTGAAATGTAATTGGATAAATTATTTCATCAGCTTTGGATTTTGAACCTGTGGCCTGATCATATTGTGTTAGAACAACGTGCCATGCTCACCGAAGAGACTAGCATTGGAATAGGGAGTCATTATGCCTGCATCTTAAGTTCTTCAGTAGCCTGTAGCAGCAGAAGGAAATTTTGTTGAATCTGAAGCCAATTCTAAAGATTTGTCTATCTCTTCCATGCCTCTCAAGACGTTGAGGCTTGATTTGCAATCATCTAACTACAAGTGGTGCCTGCAACACCACGTTGCAGCATAGTATATTCCTAGACCATGTAGCCATATCATCTTCCAGAGATAACTCAACTTATTTTTCTCTTCATTTGACCTGTTTCATTTAATAGCATGTTGGAACTCCTATTCATGCTCTGACATTGATTTTCTTTTTAATTTTATTTTTTTGAAGGGACAAAATTACTGCCTTTGGATTTTATTTCTAATTATTTTTCTATGTTTTTGCAAATTTTGGTATTGTGACATGCTGATAACTTGCCTCTTATTTCTCAGTAGCCCCATTTGGGTTACATAGCCATTATAAATGTACATGTTTTACCAGAAATACTGATAATTATTCATATCCAGTACTAGATATTTTTTGTGGGAGAAGTAAAGAATAGACCAAGACTTTTATCAAGTGAAACTGCAATGTGAAACTACAAAAATTTCAAGACTTTTCCGTTGGAGTATATAGTTTTTACATCTTACTTGTCTTGCATCTCCCAATCCTCCAACTTTAGAGAATCGGAACTATTTTTTCTTTTTTATAAATAATAATAATTGCTAGCAAAGTTACACTGATAAATTTTCTTGCCTAACAACAGTGTGTTCTAGTATCGGTAAATAAATTAGACTCAAATTCAACAAATCAAATTGTTGAAAAACCTACTTTAATTTTTTGTTTATTTAAACTCCCATTTTTAATGGAAAAGAAAATTTTAAATAATTGCTGTCTCAACAGAAAGGGAACTGTAGAAGAAATGTATGGAGACAGCTGGAACCTTTAGCAGAAATTTAAAGTATAACTCTGAATGTCCTACTGTTCTGAAGTGCATCAGAAGACTAGAAGAGGCAGCAGGTAGTTTTTTTATCTGGAATTCCAGATAAACTATGGTTATCCAAACTTGCTAAGCTATCACAGCAATTTATTGTCTATTGCTGATTTCCGTCTGCCTCTTGATATGTGGTTCTTTGTGGTTGTGGGATTCCCAGAATGTTTAAAAGCTCTGATCATGCAAGAACCTGATGATTTTCTTACATCAAGGATGCTTGTACAGAGTGCTGACTATGCCAATGATTTGAGTTATACATGGCATTTGGATCCGTAAACAGCTATAGGCAACTTGTATGGACTGGTAATAACTTGGGCTGCTTGAAACCAGAAAAATTCAGCAGTAAGACTGAAGTTATGCAGCGAAACTGTCAAAAAGGATTTCCAAAAAAGAAACAGACAAATAATAGATGGGAATAATTAGAAATAAGAACTAATCACAACTTGCAAAATATACATGATTTTACTTGATTGCCAAATAAGCAGGGCTTTTAGCCTAAGTGAATTATATTTGAAGGAGCCTTATACAAGATATGGTCAGCTATTCTGAATTCATTTTAGTTACCAGATGGAGGAACCATTTCCTGTATATTCCAGCACTTCTTTGATGATTATCTTGCTCCAGCATTAGAAAAAAACATTTTTGAACATTTTAATCAAGGATTAACTGTGATTGCCATGCTATTGCAAATCTTTGTTTTCAACTTAAATTCCATATACACTGCATTAATTCTGTAATACACCAGCTCTTTCTTCCAGAATATGAAAAGCAAATGGCAGTACGTTTTCTTTAACTTTCTATGATTTGAAAGCTGCATTAAGTTGGACATTTGTTTTTCTTTCTCTCAAGTTGATAGAACAGACACTACTTTATTTGCATAGTATTGTGTGTTGTAAAAATGTGTGATCATTGGTTGCTTTTTAGCATTCCAGGAGGCAGCAGTTGCTGAACTGTTCTTGAGATATTCTCAAGAACTTAACTAAGACAGGGAAACACTTTCTCTCGCATTGGTGGGGAATACCCCAAAGATGCGTTTTCAAGAGGCAACTGGACTTTCTTGTTTTTCTTTGAAGATATTTTTGCTTCTCATCCAAGAAGCTTCTTGAGCTTTGGGGGGAATATTTGTTTTGCTAAAGTTGGGGCTGGTCAATTTAAAGAATATAAGTCAAGAATTTCCAGTCTTGCTCTAGTAAATGACAATGATATTTTTTTCCAAATTGGGATTCAAATTATTTTATTGTTGATAGCTCCTATTAAGCTACTGTAATATGCCTGGATTCACATATTGCAGTAAGTCATTATAGCTCTTTTGTTTATTCGGGAGAGATAAACATGTTGCATGAAGCCAACCATTGTCATTTGTAAATTATAGTTTATAGTGTAATATGTGCAAATTGTCAGGTATAGTTCAGTAAAGCATCATTAAACAACCATGACGTAATGGAGTTTGTGAGGCTAGCCATTGCCTTCCATTAAACATTGAGCTTATGAATGGAGTAGAAAGTTACTTACATGTAATTCAATCTGATCATAGGCAACTTTTTATCCTCTCCATTTTATTCATTCTAGAACTGCATAGAAGAATCCAAATCTCTATCTGTCAAAATGTGACTGTGTGCAGTTTGTGTTTTAGAACCTTAACATCTAGGGCAAGTTTGTCACAGCTATCTTAAATTCCATGGCTTTCAGTGGCACTAAAATCCCAATCAGATATTCTTCAAATAATGTTGGTTTATACTTATGTAATCCTCCAGCTTGCAAAGATTATACAGGCTAAAAGACTCAGCACTCCTGAAGGATATTTACTGAGAATAACTGAACTGGAAAAACTTTTGACAGATTGACTACTATCATTATTCCATTAAACCCTTTTCCTGATATAGCTTAGCCATGCCCCATATTATGGATGCAGATTTCTGCTAAAAAAATAACAACAGTTGTTAAAACTTTAGTCAGCATATTGATGGCACAGAAGAGAAATGCAAGTAGTCTTCACTTAACAACCACAATTGGGACCAGCAATTTCATTATTAGGTAAGGCAGTCAAGTGAGATATTATGTCACTACAACTTTTGATTTTACTGCCAGCTTCTCCATTGACTGTATTTATCAGAAGTTACCTGTGAAGTGTGCAAATGGCGATCACATGACAGCAGGTTGTGACGGTTGTAAATGCCAACCGGTTGTGAGGCACCTGGATCTCAAAATGTGACTATGGGGATACTGCAATGGCCATAAGTAAAAGGACTGGTCATAAAGTTACTTCTTCATGCCATCATATAGCTAAACAGAGGAGTTGTTAAGTGAAATCAGTCTGTACTGTCATGCTGTTCCTTGAGTAAAAATGAAAATGCACCTATAAGGAAGAAAACCAATGCCATGCTCATCTCTTTGAAGGCAGAAAAAAACCAAATTGGAGAATAGAAGCACCAATGGGTTAATTGACTTTCTAAAAAGCAGCAGCCTGTTCATTCCCTAGTCTGTCCTAAACTATCTGTCTTGGGAAAAAAAATCTGATGAATCTTTCTTATACAATCAAGTTGTTTAATACTGAAAGGAGAAAGAGATAGGGGTTTTTAGTCTCAGCTGATATTGTGGAGATGTTTGCGGGAAAAAAGAAGACAGGAAGACATTGATCTGTTGTTTTATTAATCTGTCTTCTTTAAACATTTTTCATGTGTATACTGTGTTTTTCCTGTTCATAGTCGTATGAATGTCATATTTTAGAGAAAACAGAAAATAGTATTATTTCAAATAATAGGGGTATAATCTAGAGTAAACAATCAGCCAAGAACCAACTGATGTCAATGGAAATTAGAAATACAGATGAGAGGGCTACAGGGAGATATAATAGAAAGGAATGGGCTGAGTTGGTCACTTGATGATTTCCCCCTCCCCAAAATAAAAATAGAAAAATTTGGGTGGCAAAAGGTTATAAAATATTTTCTCTTTTGAAATGAGTGAAATAGAGGATTTATTCAGAGTGTAGTATGAATATTTTTATGTAAAAATGCACAAAATTGGAAGTTGATTATGTAATAGACTAGGATAAGCAACCTGATACTTTCAGATATTATTGGCAGATGTTGATGGAAATTGACAGCTAAAACGTCTGGAAAGCTCTTTTTACCCAAATGCATATCTATACTTTGAATACTGACATCTTTTTGGTAGAAGTCAAACCTTTTTAGTTAGGAATTATGAATTGTTTGCTGATATGCAGTGGTTTTGGTTTGCAAATAATCAGAAACAAATATTCTGCAACTGTTGATCTTTTGCATTGATTCTTCATGTGAGTTAGATATTTTGTACAAAAAAAGGAAAAGATTTCAAGAACTTTCATGTGATCTCTTGGAATCCAATAACTTCATGGAATTAGGGGTCTTGGCTCTGAATACATAAGCTTAAAATTTCTCAGTAACTTTCTTAAGCAATACAATTCCATGGCTTTAGTTATCAATGATACTTTTTATGTGTGTTTTTTAAAAAAGCAAATACATGAGAAAATATTGCATGGATTTCAGGTTTTCCCAAATTTTCAAATTTTATCTGGAAAGAAACAACTTTGTTTTTCTTCAATTTCAAATTTTTGGCAATATTACAAAACACTGGTACATATGTCATTCTGTCCAATATTTATATTTACACAGCATCCCAAGATTGGGTACTGAATTATAATAAATTTTCTGGATATGTATAATATCCTAAACTATGAAATAACGCAATAGGCTGGGTTCATACAATACATTAATGTTTTTGAAAATCCCATAATCAAACCAATGATCTGGTACAGCAGATTACATTTGGTCTCAGATTTATCTAATCAGTGACTGATCATATAAAATATATATGATAAATTGCAAACCAAAAGTGACATTCTAAAAGGCTCTATACAAAAAAAAATTCATAATATGTAACAATGTTGTAAGACTCATTTTTAGGGTTACACGCTTTTTTCCCAATTCTATAGTTTTAAACAAATGAGGTGAGTTTATGCTGCCTTCCAGCAAGATCTAAAAAAAAAAAAGCAAAGATTAATTCCCACTATCTGGCCATTGCTATTGCAGTAGATGTATGCTCACCTGTCAGGACTGTTCAAATTTTCCCTTGCAAATATCTGCTCTCAGTAATGGAGATGGGTCTTTCTCACTATCCTCATTATTCTAATTCTGTGCAACAGCTCCAGCTAGTTATAGTTAGTGATAACAATTCCCAACTAGAATAGCCAGCTATATATTGCCAGGAAAAAAAGAATACATCATCGAAAGAAAAGACACAGTCCTAGGTGATTAAAATTCAATACTGTAGGAATGCAGTGGATTCTCAGTGAAACAAAAGCTAATATGGTTGCACTAAATTACATATCACACTTCAGAGAGATGGACAACATATAAACTTAGTAAATTTAAAAAAAATGTATCAAGCTTTTCACCCAACAGTTCCTCAAGTTTGAAAGCTAGCAGTAGGGATTCAAAGAGACAAATGTTTGATAAAATGCTTTTATTACAGATACTAAAAGGGCAATAATAGAATAATCAATAACTGCCAGTTGCATACTACAAGCCATGTGTAAATGTAGTAATCCCGAATTTCAAACCCTACATCCAGCCTGAGAGCAGATTTTGTCTCAGTGGAAGGGATGGAATGCATCTGTTCATTGATGTTCATCCACTGATGCTATGGGCCTGTCTGATGTTGGGTCTTGACCTCTGATCTTGATGATTCTGGCTCTCACAATTGGCTTAGTTTTGGTTTGTAGCTTGATATATCTTGTAAAGCTCTAATTGTGATCTGTTCAATAAAATGTGGCTAAGCATACCATGTCTGAGCATAGTGTGTGACTGCAGTCAATGACTAAGTGACTTTTATGCCTACATCAGGATGTTGCCTTGGGAAAGTTCATCAGCAGCCTTCATGCTTAGATTGCTCTTCCTTCTGGATGGTTGTGATTAACCTGGACTTCTGAATAGAGTTGAGGAGGGACTCTTGTTTCCCTGTGTTTCTGAACTTAAATTTCCAGTATTGTTCAACTCAGTATAGTTTAAAGTGTTGGTAGGGTTTATTTATTTTTTAGAATAGTTGTATTTTGTAGCTCAAGCTTCTGGCCTCCTACAGTGCAGAATTGCCTCTGTAGCTTCACTTTAATCAGAAGATTTTCCATTTTAAAATAACTCTTCTATCCTTCAAATTTGGGATCTTTTTTAACCACCAAGTTTTGTTACATTTTAATATTAGTGTACTATCTAGTCTCTTTAAAATAAATATCAATGTATGTGTTCAGATTATAGTAATCCATACTTCCGAACAGGACAGGATACATAACATTCTCCTGGAAAACATCTATAAACTTGTTTATATGCTAATTGATCAACTATAATTGAACAACTAATTGATCCCATATCTGCCTGCTTTTCCTTAGACTTTTCCACTGAAATATTGTCACTTCCATGTGAACATTCTGTAGGTTCTTAAGAACTTTAATTATACTGTAACTCAGATATTTAGGGTGCAAATAGTTCCAAATGTAGACCTTGACGTATAAAAAATGTCTCGTAACAGGTGACAGACAAGAATCTGCTTAAATTACTGAAAACCCAACTGATGACCAAATTACATCCCATTAATGTTCTCTAACATACCTGGTGGATTTATATAGCAGTAAGTCAGAATTTGATTTTATCTCTTTTTTTTACCTAATGAACTGTGCTTTGCAACTTGTAGTTAATTGCTGAGTGTTGTATATGTACCCAGCCATTTTGGCTTATTCAGCTTACTGTGATTAAAAAAAACCATAGGCTTGCATGACTGTACTTTCCACTCCAATATATACCAATACACTTCATTGTTGTGCAGTTTAATGCATTGCATATAATATACTTTAGCATTTTTGAACCTAGTGTCTTTTTGGTATATTAGAGTGTAATTCTATTTCCTAACCAACATAGTTATGAGCTGTGTTGTCTGAGAGGGCTTAAAACGGTTAAAAGTCTATGTTTCTCAACTTTGGGAACTCTTAAGATGCAGGGGAAATCTGGGAGTTGAAGTCCACACTCTAAGATGTGTGGACTTCAACTCCCAGAATTCCCTTGCCAGCTGAAGTACAGTTTTAAGTTGCCAAGGTTGAGAAATACTGGTCTAAGACATTTAGAAGACCAATGAAATTAGGCTGTAGTCTCCTCAAATAAGATGAAATGCTGGTAATTACTAAAAGCATATGTATAGCCTAGACCATGTGACCGCTTATTTGCTAGTTACTAGTGGGCATATCTGCTGCAGCGAAGAGAGTTTTATCTTATGGGAAAATACAAGCATCTTCACTGCAGGAGAAGCAGTCACAAGGCAAACACTAGAGACATAACTGATCTCTTCTTCCTCTCTGTGGCCTGTGAAATACAGAGATGTATTTAAGGCCCATTCTATAGATGAAATGGAGAAGAGCCATAGAATGGATCAACTCAAACTGGGTAGCACAATCCAATTGTGAACATTCTATATTAAAAATAATCATGCACTTATGCAAACCTTTATGCATTTTAAAAGCCCAGCAGGAAAGAATACTTATCAATCTCTGCTAGATGTTTTGTTTTTCTATTTTTGTGTATGTGCTTTTGAAACAGCTAACACCATCTGCAATTTCTATCCATTCTGATTCTCCCTGACCCCATTATTGCTATATTCTGCTTTAGTGTAAACCAGATTTCATTCTGAAGGCATTGATTGACCAATATCCTGTTGTTTTTAGTTCTTATTTATATATTCTTTCAAGTTACTGATTCCTTTCCCATGGTAGTTATTTTCTTAAACCATGATAGTAAGGAACATACAACAGGAAAACTGAAGGCATAGGACAAAGGTCATTCTGGCATATTATAGGCTTGGGATAGCTGTTTTGGCTAGGAAGAAAAGTTTTGTTCATAATGTATGCTCTGAATGTAACCAGCTATGGTACATTTTGAGTAACCCATTGTTAATAAACCACTTTGTTTTTCTCACGATGGTTCCCATCCTAAACATATTTTTCTCAGATATTATTATTTTGATAGCATTGGCTTTCTAGCAAGCTTGATTTAAGACTAACTTTCAGCCGCAAGCTTACAATTTCATTATGGCTTTTGCTGTGTGCAAATGAAGTTGTGTTGTTGGTTTTTTGACTAAGGAATAGTAATGGAAAATGTGCTTTATTTGACATAAGATTGTCACAATGGGGAGAGAGAATTTGTTGGGGGACACACCTTCCCTATTCTCAATTGGGAACCAACCTGGGAGTAGTTTCACTAGGCCAGACTTTCCCAAGATGGTACCAGTTCAGTTAAAGCTGGAGAACACCAAGCCTGGAAAGATATACCCTCTGTGACTTTCTTCAACATTATAAATTCATTTTTGGCTTGCTGTGGCTTGGGTGCCATCTAGAAGATAAGAGTACATTTGTTTTGCTTGTACATTGCTTTGAGGCAGAATTAGACTTGGATTTATTTGGCAGACTGTTTGGATTGTTCATATTTTCTCTTTATTTGTAATAATGCCAAGGGATACAATTTAACAACAGTTTGTAAATGGTGTTGCAATTTACCAAAACTGATGTCTAGGTTTCCCAATACTTTAGTTTTCCTTATATTGCCTTTGGTATCTTTCTCTGTTTTCCTATTTTATTAATAATATCTGTCTTTTCTCTGTATGAAATAAATAATTTTTAAAGAGGTTCTGGAATGTCTTTTTTTAAAAATCTAATCTAGCTGTGATGACTATTTTTACAGGAATTGGGGATACTTCTAGATTTATTTAACGAAATATAAAACACAGCCATCCTTCATAGGTGGGTAAATAAGGAATAAATATTCTAGAACTGATATACATTTTCTTCATATTTTGACTCTGATACATGGAGCTGGTATTCAATAGATCTTGACATAGATGAACTTGGATCCTAAAAAACTCAATTTTTATTTTTAACTTTATAACATTTAATACAAATTTCCCACAGCCAAAGCTCTCTGGGCAATAAGCAGTTTAAACAATTTTAAATTGCAAATCCAATAAAATATCCGAAGCTTCTACAACTAAAAAAACCCAAGAAGTTATAATTAAAATCAATAGATTCATAGATTAGTCTCAGGGTAATAAAATATATCAAATATATCAAAATACCACAAATGCAACAGATAAAGTGTTCAAGAGATGTTGTCATAGCAAGACTTCCTTGCTAATATTCCATCAAGAATATAGGTTATTTTGTAATGGAATATGTCAGTAAAGACAAGACGTTGGAAAGCAAGAGAAAACAGTGTAAGACATGAGAAAATTCACCTCTCTTCTTCATTCCATGTTAATTTCCTGAATTTATTTCTCAGAGGAACAAACTGATGAAATAAATAAGTAGAAATGGAATGGAATGTTGCCTGAATGTAATAAAAAGGTGATGGTGCAGTTATTTTATGGCTTTTCTGGGTATGTCTCAGCAACTGGCCACTGGACAATTTACCAAAGAATCTGGCTAATACATGCAAGAATATCACTATCTTACTCCTATCATATCCACATTTTAATCAAACTTTGAGGCTGGAGCATGCAAGTACAAACTACTTCCTGGAACCCCAAGACACCAATGCTTTTTGTTAGACTGACACACCACAGCCCTTAAAACTTGGTTGAAGTGTAGAGAATGAATAAACAGCCCCAGCCCCATTGATTAACAAACTGTAATGATTGATCGGTCATCTTCTATCGATGCAACCAATGACTAGATTCCCTCATGAGCCCCCCACAAAACGCAACCTTTTTGCATCTGGCTTCATTCAGTTTGGATAGGCGCCGTTTATCTCGCATGTATGTGAGAGGAGCAGGCAACAATAGCGGCAAAGAGTTTGCTTCAACCCTTTCTATGGGATTTCTCTCACACACACTCTCTTCTTGAGGGGGTCCCCGAGACTGGTCGGAAGGCCTCCGGCCGCCCTGCTCTGGGCTTGTTCCGTATGCAAGGCAGAGGCGATGCCGCTAGAGGGCTCTGGCCATTGTCAAAAAAGAGAGAGAGCGAGAGAGAGAGAGAGAGCGAAGCGGCTGTTCTCCTTTTCTTTGGCTGCCGCTGCTGCTGCTACTGCAGCTCCCGTTGCCGCTGACGATTTTGGGGGCTGAACTTCCCAGGTCAGAACCAGAGAGAACGAGTCCTGTTGTTGCTGTTTCTTCTGCTTTCGTAGCAGCCTCCCGGAATCGACCCAGCCCGAGCGCCAGCAAACCGCTGAACTGTACCAAATCGGGAAGCGCAGAGTCTCGCCTTTATTTATTCTTCCTTTGATAGGCGAGATTTTTAGGTCGGCAGCTCTAGGAGTCAGATTCGTCTTGGTAACTCGAGGTGATTGGGAGTGGGCACTGGCCAAAGTCCAGCCAGGCAACTTCCTCGGTGAGGGGGAGGGAGGGAGGAGAAGAAGAAAAAAACCTATCACAAACGAGAGGAGGCAAGGCACGGCACTTTGTCCAGCGCCTTTTTCAAACAACAGTTGAGTGTGTCCCCCCACCCCTTCCCCTTTCTTGATGGTGTGAAAATCCGAGGGCTCCCTAGGCTCATAAACAAGAGACCTGGGTTAGGAGGGTGAAGCTATAACAGCAATAAAGCTTCGAGGACGGGAGAATGCAGATCTTAAGGATGCATGGATGAGCAGGGAAATCTCTACACACTCCTCTCTGAAAGGGCTTGAGTGTTACTATAGCCCACATGCTTTGCAGAAATTCAGTTGATGGAGTTTTCCTCCTAACAATTCTTCCAGGGCCAGGAAAAGCTTCACCTGTTGAATTTCCAGACGATCTTAACAGAGTGCTAGGAAGTGCAGCAAGACAGGTAAGTAGGACTGTTGTAGGATTGGCACGGACTACAATTCCCAATATCCCTGGCCATCAGTAATGCTGACTGGGGTTGATTGGAGTTGGAATCCAACAACTAGTACATTCTTCACTTTATAAGGCTGGCAAACCAAAGGCCAACAAGTGTGAAATTAGGCTTTTTAGTACTGTGACTGAAAGGCCCATCTCATTATAGGACAACAGAGTTAGTTTTGACTTCTGAGCAGGGAAAATTATTCTTTCAGAGGCCAGAGCCTCCTGCAGAAGTGACTGATGTATTTTGCTGAGATACAATGGGCCCTTCTGGACCCATGCCAGAGACCTGTCTACAGGGACATTGTGCAGGACAATTTTGGGACTCTACTGTCGCTAGGTAAGGACTTTTATTTTTCTTTCTTTTCTTTTTAAATTAAAATACTGAGGCTATTTTGAACTGAGAATCCCAAAATGAATTAGCATATTGCATTAGTTTTTATTTATTTCAGAAAATGTTAAGCCTTTGAAAAACAGAATTATTCATCAGGCAGGACAGAGTCTTGTAACCTGGAAAATTGCATTATACTATGTCCACAAATGTGTCTCCAGTAAAATCATCTTCATGTGCCTGTTTATTATGAGTACTTAAAAGAAACTAAGCTCATGGTTGTCCTATGTGGTGATAGGAGAAAAAATAAACATGAGCATATTTTTTGCCCCTGTATATTTATATAAGTTCATAGCTTCTAAATCATTTCAAGCACGCTGGTGGAATTTAATAGACTTCTGCTGGTTAGTTACCAAATGTCAGAAACTGGCAAAAAGGGTTAGCACTTTCTGTTTGTGTCATCTTCTGTGTCACAGCTCAGATTTGGATATGAAAGCCTATAAGGTGTCTACATGATAACATTAGCAGAGGAGAGAGGTATTTTTAAATAATTTCTGATCCAGTTCTTCCACAGAGCCTGGGATGGGCAATACAACTAAAAAATAAACCTGCAGCCTGGTAAAGTATCCACTACCTTTCTTAGAATAATACAGCATGGATAGCTGTAACTTCCCCACCACCACTGCTCGCTTCACTCTCTTTCTTTTGGCAGACGGAGGAACCATGAATTCAAATTCACAGCCGGGAGGGCCTGAGGGTATGCAGAAGCAAGTCCATGGGCGGCCTGAGGGCTCTGCTTATGGGGGACAACCTTCAGCTGGACAGCTGAGTGAAGAGGCAGAAAAAGGATGGGTCAAGCCACCTCTTCTTCCCCCAGTGACAAAAGACAACAACACCATCCCACCCCGTGGAATTCATATAGGGCCTGGGCCCAGCCTGTGCATCCAGTGTGGAGAAAGTCTTGCCCAGACTCAGCAAATCCTTGCCCAGACTCAGCAAACCCTTGCCCAGACTCAGCAAACCCTTGCCCAGCCTAAGAGATCTCTCCTCTCTGCTGATAAGCAATATCCCTGCTCTGATTGTGGGAAAAGCTTTGGCGTCAGCTCCCACCTCACAATTCATCGGAGAACTCACACTGGTGAAAAGCCCTACGAGTGCAACGACTGTGGAAAAAGTTTTAGCCAGAGCTCCACACTTGTCCTCCACCGCCGCATCCATACAGGAGAGAAGCCATACAAGTGCACAGATTGTGGGAAGAGCTTTTCCGTTAGCTCCCATCTGACCAAACACCAACGCATCCATACGGGAGAGAAACCCTATGAATGCCAGGTGTGTGGGAAAAGGTTCAGCCAGAGCTCCACCCTCATTCTTCACCAGAGGATTCATACAGGGGAGAGGCCTTATAAATGTGATGAATGTGGCAAGACCTTCAGCGTCAACTCACACCTCACCATCCACCAGAGAATCCACACAGGAGAGAAACCGTTCCGTTGCATGGAATGTGGGAAGAGTTTCCGACAAAGGTCTGGTCTTAGCACTCATCAGAAAACTCACATGATGCTTGTGAGACCTTATAAGTGCCCACCTTAGAAAGTTGGACCCACAAGCCTATCTGCAAGTACCACCAAAATTCTCCATCTCTCCTTCTCTCACACACACATGCACATAGTTTTTAAAAAATCAATACAGAGAACCAATTGACCACGTAGTTTTGCACTGGGAAGGCAGACTTCAAGAACTCAATTTAGATTTTTGTAATTATAATGAAAAGAAGTCTTGTGCATATTTTGCCTTAACTTGCTTGCTTATGGATAGACACGCTGCTGCATAGTGAATTTTGATATGACACTTGAACAAGTGAAAAGTAAAACTCTCAGCTAAATAAAGATCCAGAATGTATGTCTATATGCAAGAACAAGGATGAATCAGGCCTACCTGGAAGTTATATTACTGGATTAAATCCCTGTTCTCTGATATGCCTCTACAAGTCCAGCTTCCCAGCACCGATGGTCAATCTTTTCCATCATACATTCTGCTCCATGAAAGACTGTGGTTGGAGAAAGAATCTTACTGAAAATTATGGGAAGCTTAGGGTAACTGAGTTGCGAGGATGCTGCCCACCAGGCCACAATAAAGGTACAGAATTATGTATCTTCAAAAAAGCAATTCAGTTTCCACAATGCTGAACATTGAATTTACCAAGTACACCTACCGCAGTTCATCATTTCTGAGTTCCTACTACTCTTTTCAATGTTAGTTATTTGGAGAATGCCTGAAACATGATTACACATCCTGATATACCAAACAGACAGTACTAGTGACATTGTGGAATCATCCTCTCTTATCATTTGTTCTCCTTTCTTGGGCAAGTAATTGGGCTAAGTAATTCTTAAAGATTCACAAAGCATTTTAAAAGTGAAAGAACACAAGATGGGGAAAATGTGAATACCAGCAACTCCTGATCTCTTCATATCAGTGCTCTGCCATTTTGTAAACAATCCCTTTAATCTAGTTGTTTCCCGTTTTTACTACCATTTTTAAGTGGCTGTTACTGTAATTGTTAGCTATTTTCTCTGTTGTATGACTGTGAGCCTCATCTGGGCCTGTGGTGTTAATTAGGAAGTGGGATAGCAATTTAAGTCATAATTAATAACTTCTTTTTGAAATGTTTGAAGGATATACCCCCTCCTCAGTTCATTACCCCCAAAAAATACATTTCCTCTGTGTTTTAATTTAAAAGAGAAGAAGAAAGTGTGGGCTAAAGCTTACAAAGCAAGACATCTGAAGTCTGGTCTGTCTTTTTAAAAAACCCAGAATTATGGGATATTAAAGCAGTATCTCCTGTGCTAATTCTGCTCCTCCTGATTTATCTTCAGTTTTTTGCTTTAGCTAAGTGGCATTCTGAATAGAAAAAAGGTTGAACATGTCTACATTTATTTAGGGTTAAATAGGATCTCTGAATATGTCTGCAAAGCCTGTCTCTTAACTGCATGAGCCACATGTAAGTCATCTTTTGTCAACATAATGCAGATTATTTCTTCCATGTTTTTCCAAAACAATGATAGCTGGAAATTATGGCAATTAAAATTCAACATATGTAGAGATCATCTCTTTGAAGATAATTTACATAAGTGTAACTATCAGAACTAGCAAAATTAAATAAAACCCATTCCTGCTTTGTTTTATGTGATAATCTATTGTACCATTTTTGTAGCTTTAGAAGCTTTTTCCAATTATCAGCCATTTATGTTTCTTCATCAATAAATCTCTCGCTACAATCTGACCCTTTGTCTGATTTCACTAAAAAAAGAATTAAATTTCAAAGAATTGCATGAAAGCATTTGTAGACTTGTTTTTAAGTGACGGCCTGCAGTATTGTGTGTGTGTTTTTTTTTACAAGATTTGTATCTGGATTTTCTACCCAAAGCAGTTAGCAATCGAGTAAAACAAATAGACACAACTGAAAAAAGCCAGGAAAAATAGAATATGAATGCAAATTACTCACATCATCAAAGTATTGCATTTAATTTTCTTCCTCATCTGAAACAAAATATTTAGAACAAATTATTTTAAAAAATGCCTTGTCAAGAAGTTCTCTTTAATGGCAAAAACAGAAGGACTTTGCACTGATTATTCTGTGGGCAATATTTCATAAAACATCTCATAACTTAGAGATATTCCTGCTCTTTGTAGCCATTTAATAAGTCTGGCTTTTTGAAACTCAGCCACAATTGAGATAAGAGCTATAATTGCTGTTTTTCATTACTTAACAGTCTTTCTGTACTTGTAATGAAGATGACAAATCTCATCTTAGTATATATTAAATATAAATTTTCTTATTTCTCTTTCTATAATAAAACCAACTCTGTAAATAATGTGGGGTGTAGTTTTAATATTTTGTGTGCTGGGACAGCTTTTTTTTCTAATAAATACATTGTGTGTGGTGAGATAAGAACATGTGATTATGTCTCTTTAAACTCAAAGGATAAAAATATATGCCTTTCACATGTTTTGAAATATACCACCATCACCCTCGATCATTAATTTAATGGTAAGAGTTGGTCAGAATTTTGATCCAAAGCTTTAGGAATTCATAAAATAACCTCTCCCAATAAAAGTAGACTCATTAACTCTGATGTGACCTACTCCAAAGCAATTATGCATACACAAGTGGGGGAGGTATCCAACCTTGATGGCTGAGGAATTCTGGGAATTGAAACCCACAAGTCTTAGTCAAGGTTGGATACTTCTGCTGTAGGAAAACAACTAATCATTGTCAAAGTACTTGGTTATGGGTGCATAGGAAAAAAGTACATATACTAATTTTTTTTCTCCCTCTTTGGAATAACTTGTCTTTTAAAGAACAGACCATGTTTCCATGTTACCTGTTGACCACGTCAATTTCCACAATATTCTGCAGCCCTTGTCCAGGATTTCAGTTTGGGAAATGAAAAATATTTATTACTTGTTGATCCCAGTAGGATGGCTGGACTTAGTTACAATGAAGGGGTGGGGGGCACACTGTGGAAGCCATCACTCTGTAGAGAGATATTGTTGCTAAGAGTCAACTCTATGCAAAATAACTGGGTGTATGTGTGTATTCATGTATTAAAGGTGAAGTTTAGTACTTGTTTTTTTCAAATATAACATCTTTTTCTATAAAACCATGATTACCTCCGAGTAAATATAACACGTCCGGTGAAGCAAAAGCAAACTTTATTGCATTCATGGAGATAGTATAAATCGCATGGGTCAAGAAACAAATCTGCCATTTGCTCAGGAAGTTTCTTTTAAAAAAAAAATCCCAAGTTTTTTTTTAAAAAAATGCTCCCTTTTGCTCTGATGCTTCAGAAATAGGCACACGGGTCGAAGAAACCAGGGAAACAAAGAGAGTAAATAGAATCCGCTTATTTGAAGAACAGTTCCCCAATCTGCAGATTGGGAAAGACAACTTGCTCTAGTCGCACCTCTAGTTTTCCTTGAAATATATTTATGGAGAACAGCAAGGGTTAAAACCATGGATCAACCCAGGTTCCGCTCTTGCCTGTAGCTAGAGCGGTTTGCTCTTCCGATTCTTGGCTACAAATGGTTCAATTCCCGCCATTTCCTCTTGCGGTCCCTCCCTAAATCATTTCCAACGCAGATTCTGAGCGAAACCCGACCTCCCCTCGTGGTTTGGAGTTAGGAGGTCTCAAAACCAAGCCATATTTGAACGGAGAAATGAGGCTAGAAGCGGAGCGTTTGGAGGAGGGGCCAAGTGTTGTGCATACGCTCTGTGCTCTCAAGGATGGATAAAAATGTTAAGACAGAGGATGCAGGGCTGTCGGATCTATAATAGCAGAGAAAATCACCCTGCATTGAGATGGGATTTCTCAACCTTAAAAACTTCCAACTCTCAGAATTCCCCAATATGAACACTGGTTGGGGAATTTAGGGGGATTCTCTTTATGAAGACCACACATCATAAAGTTGGTAAGATTGAGAAACCCTACTTTAATACAGGAAATTCTTCATCTTTCCATCACACTCCAGAAACACTTGCCATTCATCAGCTACAGAGCCTTTAAGCTGTGGCCAGGAAATCAAGCTTTTTTAAAACAAAAAAACTGCTGTTGAGTGAGTGCAGAGTCCCATCTTTTTATCCCATCATTACAAATTGAAGGTAGCTTTCCCTTATCTCAAAGGAAATCAAGGTACAGCTTTGAAGGCAAAGATGAGGCCCAGGGCAGGTTTATGTCCAAATCCTATGACTATCACTAAGTGTTATATCTTATGATTTATAATGAATGTATCTTTACAATGACTATGATCATGATTTATCACTTGTAGTTCTTATATATGCTGAGAGCTTATGCACAGAAGACATTCCTTGTGTGTCCAATCACACTTGGCCAATAAAGAATTCTATTGTATTCAGATGTCCTCTCTTTAATCCACTAAATGCATCCTCATGTTTCTAATCACAATCATTTCAGATTAGGACCAGATAAATTTCTGGATCCAAAGATGTACTGTGTGTAACCTCCCTAATGGTAGCTTGCCATCAGTTGAACGGGAGACAGGATTGTTTTGGGGAATCCAGGGCTGAATTAAGTACAAGTATTACTTGACCTCAGCAATTTAGTGATTATTCAAAGTTAAACAGCACTGAAAAAAAAGTGACTTGTGACCATTTTTCACACTTATGACCATTACAGCATCCCCGTGGTCACATTATCAAAATTCAGATGCAATCTGGCAACAGACTCATATTTATGATGGTTGCGGTGTCCCAGAATCATGATCACCTTTTGCTACCTTTTGACAAGCAAAGTCAATGGGGAAACCAGATTCACTTCACAATTGTGTTACTAAACAACCACAGTGGTTCACTTAATAACTGTGGCAAAAAAGTGGTAAAATGGGGAAAACTCACTTAACTGCCTCTTAAAAAATGTCTATCTTAGCAATGGAAATGTTGGGTTCAAAAGCTTTACTACCTGTAAAAGGTTTACTTCTGATTCCATTTTGGTAAAGTTCAGGGAGTGGCATGAAATCTAATGGTGCTTTTATCCTGTCCCATTTGTGAAACTTTATGCAAGATACAGATTTTATCCTCTTAGCCCTTCCGTGATTTCTTGACACTAATATTTTCTTTTAAAAATAATCCACAAAGAAAGGACAGGCAGAAAAAAAAAGCACAAAATTTGTCCCTAGTAGGACTGGAAACCATCAGTCTGAGAGTGGCAAAGAAAGGGGAATTGATGGATTCCTACTCATTTAGATTAATAAAACATAGCTGGTAGTATGTAATCTTTGTCAAAACCTTTCAGCCAGTTCTTGAATTTGAATGAATTAATTGCCATAATTTATATGATACTATTTTTGATTTTATGAAATATTATCCATGCTATCTGGATACTAACTACAAATCCATTTGTAGGTAACACTTCGTCTGTAAATACATAAACTCACTCTTATCCATACCTTCATTTAGGCCCAGCCTTTTATGCCATTGGAAATGCAGAATCCCTGCCTTGATAGAAGGATGTCATGCAGGATGGACACTATACAACCCTCATTTTCTTTGGTAAGGTAATCTGAATTCTAAGTTTTTGAACTTGGGAAATTTTATATATTTTGGGTGGTTCTTAATCCATATTGGTTTGGAAGTCTGGTTGCAGCGGAATGTGTTAAAAGGAAAGTCATATCTTCACATATTTAAAAGAAAGACATAACTAAAACAATCAAATATTTCTGGATTTTTTCCCTATATGTTCCTCTGGAGAGATAAAATATTTGGGAGGGGGGCACCCTACTTTTTCATTTAGCTATTTTTGGTTTTAGATTATTCATAAAGTTTTGACATTTTATTCCATTGTTACAATAGTGGTTGTTAACTGATAATGATAAATGATGTGCTATGTTGACTAGTTAAAGAAGGAATTATTGCATTACCATTGTCTTTCTCATATATCTTAAGAGTTCTCAGATAGTATAATGCTTTGACCCCTCTAAAATAATTAATGGCTTTGTGTGGCAAACTCCCCACCCCAGGAATTAAAAAAAAATAAAGAATTTCAGACTGCATTCTGATGGATCTATCTTGGGGTGAAATTCAAAAATTTTCCCTTCCGGCTTTGTGGGCATGGCTGTGAGCATGGCTTGGTATAATAGTAATAGCAACCAGGGCCGATTTTTTTACTGATTCAAATCGTCCCTACCCTCTCCTGAGCTGGGCCAAGGTGGTTGAATTTCACCCCTGGTCTGCCTGGACAAGCCACTGTTGTATTTTCAAGTAGTGATCCAGAAGTAAATATGCCAACCAGTACATCTAATTTGGATTACTATCATAACTTATTCTCTGGACTTTTAGAGCAGGAGTGTCATGCCCAACTCCAGTTTAGCAAAAGGGAAAAAGTTGTGATATATCACATGACAGCAATGTATGGTTGCGAGTTTGACAACTCTGCTTTAGAGGCTTTTGCCTTCTTCCTGGGCCATGTTATGCTAAGTCCTGCTGCTGAGTCTGGTCTAGGCAGTCTGAGGGTTGAACCTCTTCTACTTCTTGGAGGAAGGTGACACCTCACATTGGAAGGTTGTCATGCTCAGGATGCCTGGAATGGGCCCACAGGCTCTGTGCTAGGATTCAGCATGGCAGTCCTCCCCTTCCACAATGACAAAACCCTGGAAAAGTGGGAAGATGAAACTAGGCATCACAATACTTGCAAGGCCAAGTTAGGGAGTGCTCCAGAATTCAATGCTACAACTGCAAAGCTCGCTGGCCCAATGCTTGTCTCTACTACAGGCCCCAATTCAGCACCTGAAGCTTGGCAAAGATGTTTGGT